TAAACTTTGACGAACATATACAATATTCTAAAAGATAAATCACATTTATGTGATTATACAAAACTTTAATTTATTTTTCTAAAATAATATGGATTGTCCTCTAAAATATATATAGTGGCTCGCAAAAAGTCTGCTTTTTATGTTACTTTTTTCAGAAAATGTTATTCCTGATAAAACTTAGTGTTTAATTAAAACTAAAACTTTATTTATTCAAAAAATTCTGTACCATAAATATAAATTTGGCTGCACAGTGAACTAGGTACTCTTCTAGGAACCGAACCCACATTTTTACACATAAGATTAATTTAAGAAGATGTATATAACTCCACATAGTAGTTTTTTAGTTATTACCAATAATATAGATTATTATATCCTTTTTAACCTACTTCAAAAAGGAGGAGGTTCTCAATTCGTCTGTATATTTTTTTTATGTATGTTCAGCGATAATTCTTTAACACAATGTCCGATTTAAATGATTCTTTTTTGCTGGAAAGGGGGTACTTCCGGGATGGTCCCATATAAATTTGGTCAAAATCTAATAATTGGGTCAATGGGAAAATCCTCAAACTTTTCATTTTTTATGTATGTTTAGCGATAATTCTTTACCACCTCGTCCGATTTCTATAATTCTTTTCGTTAGTAAGGGGGTACCTCAGGGGTGGTCCCATATAAATTTGATTCAGATGTGGTGATGGCATCTGCACGATTTTAAAGTCGGTTTTTTAAAATTACTTTCAATACATCTTACGTAAATTAAAAGTTTAATAATTTGGTGCTTTCTTGATGCGTCGTTTTATGATTTCTTTTTGCATATGTTTAAGTACAGATAATTATTATTATTACTGGCAGTTTATTTTAAATCATAACAAGTGTAAATTAAAAATTTAAAAAAACCGACTTCAAAAACTTGCAGATGCCATCACCACATCTTAACCAAATTTATATGGGATCACCACTGAGGTACCCCCTTACTAACGAAAAAAGAATCATATAAATCGGACAAGGTGGTAAAGCATTATCGCTAAACATACATAAAAAATGAAGAGTTTGAGGATTTTCTCATGGACCCAATTTTCCGATTTTGACCAAATTTATATGGAACCACCCCTGAAGTAGCCCCTTTCTAACAAAAGAAGAATCATATAAATCGGACAAGGTGGTAAAGCATTATCGCTAAACATACATCAAAAATGAAGAGTTTGAGGATTTTCTCATGGATCCAATTATTAGATTTTGACTAAATTTATATGGGACCACCCCTGAAGTACCCCCTTTCTAACAAAAAAAGAATCATTAAAATCGGACACCGTGTTAAAGAATAATCGCTGAACATACATAAAAAAAAAAAATATCGCGACGAATTGATAACCTCCTCCTTTTTTTGAAGTCGGTTAAAAATAATATTTTGTTGATCCAAAAAAGGCAAAAAAAAGCCATGTCACATTCAGTGTAATAATAAAAATTAGATATATAAATATAGTATATTATGTACCAACAGACTAAACTTTCACTTTCAATCTCGCCTTTTGTCGTAAAAGACTTTTAAATTTTTACCAGTGACGTCCGTGGCGGGTTTGAACTGAATATTTTTGAAAAAAAATATGGTGCGCCACTGCTTTTTCTAAAAACCAAAATTATCTTTAAAATTCTTATATATTTTGGAGCAAATTTGGTTTATGACGTACTTTCGTACGAAGCACCCTTTTCGGGTAAGAAAATGAAAACCAGTATATTGAAACTGCTTTTGATATTTTGTTGAAATTTGATAGGAACCCACCATGAGTAGAAACACTTTTTTTGGGAAAAATTTCAAAAAAATACCTAGAGTGATAAGAAACTTATGATAAAATAGTTATTTTATTTTTCTTAAAACTTAAGGATTCACACCTTTAAGTATCGGCACTCAATTAATAAATACCCTGTATTAATTGATATTACCTTATTCGAACCAATCGTCTATTTTTTCGTTATTTGTATTTATATTTCACACCTCTATACTCTTAAATGTAACTTAATCTAACTAAACCTATTCTAAATTAAAATATAAAAATAATGTAAAACCCTCTAATAAATCGAACTGCGTTATAACAATATTTCGCAATGCACCGAGAAAAGCAAATACGATTCTGGTTCCCCTAATTTAGGTAACTCTGACTCACTCCGTGTTAGGATTTTTCGGTTCCTTTGTCTTAATTTCGCGCGTTAGAGTTTGGAATACGTATCCCTCGTATCTACAGGCAATTGTTAAAATTATGAATGAATGCGGATTTTGTTTAGTCTCTGAAGTAATTTTGTAGTATTTAGGCTCCACCCTAAAGTTGTAATTTTTATACCTACTAAACTACCGTTGCCCCGCAGGTCTTTCAGTTTGTAATGTAAATTTTCCTCTTAATGTGAAAAATAGGAAAACATTTATTAATGGGATCACTTATCAATCATTTTTAAACATTCAATCGTTTTTCTTTGATAATTGCTTTAGCAAACATCTAAAAAAAAAATGGTTGGTATTTATCACATTAACTACTGTGATTGCATAAGGTTTTTTATTAGATTTTATCGTTGTAAAAATTATAGAAATTATAGACATTTTTTTATAAATAATAATGAGAAAAAGCTAAAAGCTTCGTACAGGTATAGTTTAATTTTAGGTTTCAGTTATAAGGCCGAGTAAATAACAAAACAATATTAAATGACCCACAAGAATGTTGTTTGATAAGAACACTCTACTAGTAACTTTTTAAAATAATCATTGTATTGATTATATACAGAATATTTATGATAAAATAAGGAAATGGAAAACGGTATTTTGTCACCAAAAAAATACATTATTTGAAACTTTGAGACAGTTGGTTCTACTTCAAGAAAATTGAAATATATTTTGATTTACACAAAATTGAAAAATAAAATTGAAATTAAATAATATATAAATTAAGGTATTATGAAACGGCTGTTTCAATGAATGAAATTTACAAAAACAAAACATAATTTAAATTATACAACCGGATGGTCCAGGATTGTCAAAAATATTAGTTATCTCAAGATTAATTTCTTCTAAATTCTTGATTCTTAAAATTGGATATGTGGTAAGTCTGGATCTTGTTATTCAATGCAGCTGAAGAACATTGTCTGTGGATAAATTCAAATAAATCAAACGCATTAATATTTGGACCAAAAAATAACCGGGAAGCTATAAATCAGTTAATAAATTTACACATAAATGGTGAATACTTAGCTGTCGTAAATGAAGCGAAAAATCTAGGAATATTGATGGATGCGGATTTAAGATTTGAGAATCATATAAACAAATTAATACAACGAGCTTATTTTACACTAAAAATTCTTTATTATAATAGATATTTTCTGCCTATCCATATAAAAAAGTCTTTATGCGAATCTCTTATCTTGTCGATTTTTAATTATGCTGATGTTGTATACGGTCCAAATATAACTACAGATTACAAGAGAAAAATTCAAAAAGTACAAAATTCGTGTTTGCGATTCGTATATGGTATCCGCAGAAGACAACGAATATCATATAAACTAAAACAAATTGAATGGTTGAATATGGACAATAGAAGGATTCATCACGCATTAGTCTTTTTCATTAAATTATTACCACAAAAAACCATCACATCTCCATAGGAAGATTACACATCGCACCGACATACATAATTTAAATGTTAGATTTAGGGGTGAACTTACAGTTCCTCGATTTAGAATTGAAATGTATAGGCGGTCCTTTAAATATAAAATATTTAAATTATACAATTCTTTACCATGTGAACTGAAAAGTTTAAATATAAACAAATTTAGAACTATTTTAAAAAAGCAGTTGTTTAATTTTCAGACTTAATTTACCTACATTAAACAGACTTTCTTGTGTTCAAGCAATATACATTTTCGTTTTCGTTAAAAAATTACCATTTAGTAAAGGTTGTTCGGGGTTTAAGGGTTAAGTGGAAGAACATGCTTTGTAAATGATCAAACATTTACAAAGGACGAACTTCGCCTATTATTTCTATATTTTGTTTTATTATAAAATATTTTTATTTTGTTTTGTATTTTTATAGAAATAATAAAGACGTTATTACTATTATTATTATTATTTTTTTTTTATTCCCGTAGACACTTTTCTATTAATTTCGCAATGCAAAATGCACAATTTACAATCTTTGCATTAATCTTGGAGCGTTGCAAATTTGCATTTATTTATAGAAAGGTATATAAATCGTTCTGTAAAATTTGCAATACGTTTAAAAATTTTTGGCAACTGCAAAATGTGCGAATTGTTGATTTTTGTTAATTTTTCAAGATTCAGGACCTTGTCCGAGGTTGAAAATTTACCAGATTGTTAAGAAAAATAATATAAACATTTGCAACTAATTTATAAAACTTTTGCTTGTTTTGACAAAATTAGAGGAAAATAAAAAAATATTTTGGTATTTAAAAAAAATATATTTCCGTGTAAAATAAGAGGTTGCAAATTGGAATAGCTGTTCCAAAAACTTGTATGAGTTATGTCATCGGTTTGCAGCACTTTTGCAATGGTATAAACAAAAACGCTATTTTACAAAAAAAAAATCATGTTCCAGACTTTCAAAAAAGTTGCAAATCTGATATAATGTTGAAAATAATACAATATATATTGCTTCAAGTTTGCAGCACTTTTGCAATTTTTTTCTCAACATTATAAACAAAAGCGCCATTTTGGTATAAATTCCGGGCCTTGAAAATGGTTGCAAATTTAAACTAGTGTTATTTAAACTAGCCTATTATTATTGTAAAGTTTTAAAACTTTTGTAATTAATGTGAAATGTTTAAAATAATATATTTTTACTGACTGGCCTATAAAGTTAACGAAATAATGAATTTTTTCTTTCATTGAAATAATTAAAATCCTACTACTTATAAAACAGTAGGTAAATTGTCTTGTCCTTACAAACATTTCAATGCCGCGTTAATTTCGTTCATGATTTTAGACTTCATAAAAATGTACTTACCCTTCAACACTGTTAACTTCAGTCACGACTGGCGTATTTCCTAAAATGTGATACGTTCGGGGATATGCTACGAAAAAATTAAATGTAGCTTTAAAGGTTGGTTCATCGAAGCAGGGAAAAACTCTTCTAGCATAGGTTGGAGATAGCCTAGTTAATAAAACCATTTCTTCGTTATCTTTTTCTTTGTATTGGATTTTATAAAATCCAAATTGGTCGTCAGAGGAAAATATCGATTCGTAGTTGAGCATTATGGAATACACTTGATTTGATTCTAACGTCTTATTGCACGAAATGCTAACAATATCAGTAAGATTATCAGTATAGTTCCATGAGCAATGGTGAATATATCCATCTTCATTTAAGTCAATTTTAGTAATGTTTATATGCACAGGAGATGAATTCATAAGAATTTTATCTACTTGTTCAACCGTGGTAAAAGTTATTACTTCAGTCCCTGTATACGTGTTATTATGAACATCTGGAATTTTTAACCTTACTGTATAAGTATTTGGTATAATGCTTCTAGGTAATCTATAGACCTCACTATTAGTAAAAAGTACGTTTTTTACTATTATTATGAAAAATAAAACCATAAAGTTTTGCATTCTGCTGCCTAACGCCATTTTATCAAAATTGGTACTAGATTTATCAATATCGTACAACAAAATATATAAAGATCTATATACAGATATTTTATAAATAAAACATGGATACCATCCCATATATTTTAGGTGCACCTACCTACAACAACAAAAAATTAGATTAATTTTAAAAATCTCCCGAAAAAATAGCATGATAGTGGGAAACCCCATAATATAGACAGGAATTCTTTATTTTGAAAATACATCTAAATACCTCTGTTAAAAAAGTCAAATAATTAAATTTTTTAACAATGCACTTTTCACTTCAGAACTTAATTCACGTATTATCAACTGAAATAATCAAATGATATAGGTTCAAGACATTTTTATATGATACCTAATCAATTTGGTTTTAATCCTTTAATTCTATCGGTATTTAATATTTGTGTTCGGAAAATATTAAAGTTGTTTTATATTATTGTTTATATAGAAAAATAACTTTGGAAACTTACAGAACAACAATCAACAATTACTGTTAATATATATTTGTATAATTATTTTTATTTTAGCAAAATGATTAAAAAAAATTAGCTGACACTCTCTAGGGTGTTTTAGCACGCTTTTCGTGATATTCAAGAGAATTTTTTCCCTTAAAACACCCTGGTATCATCTTAGTCTTTCTCAAGGACCCCTAGGGCTCAAGGTTTAATAGTGGAAATTTTGGTTGATTGCGATTAAAATTACTGAGGCCCTTCCTATGGGGCCCCAGTATTGCATTCGTGCAGACGAAAAAATTTTCTTACGCCCATTTTTTTTTAACTTTTTTTCACGTTTCCGATCATTTTGAGTCCGAAAATGCAAAAAAAATTCGTCTGGTCATCTGTGTGTATGTATGCCGGCACCATAACTCTAGAACGAAAGTTCTAAAATCTAAAAATCGAAAAATTGGAATATCGAAAAATCAAAAAATCGAAAAATCGAAAATCATAAAATCATAAAATCATAAAATCATAAAATCATAAAATCATAAAATCATAAAATCATAAAATCATAAAATCATAAAATCATAAAATCATAAAATCATAAAATCATAAAATCATAAAATCATAAAATCATAAAATCATAAAATCATAAAATCATAAAATCATAAAATCATAAAATCATAAAATCATAAAATCATAAAATCATAAAATCATAAAATCATAAAATCATAAAATCATAAAATCATAAAATCATAAAATCATAAAATCATAAAATCATAAAATCATAAAATCATAAAATCATAAAATCATAAAATCATAAAATCATAAAATCATAAAATCATAAAATCATAAAATCATAAAATCATAAAATCATAAAATCATAAAATCATAAAATCATAAAATCATAAAATCATAAAATCATAAAATCATAAAATCATAAAATCATAAAATCATAAAATCATAAAATCATAAAATCATAAAATCATAAAATCATAAAATCATAAAATCATAAAATCATAAAATCATAAAATCATAAAATCGAAAAATCGAAAAATCGAAAAATCGAAAAATCGAAAAATCGAAAAATCGAAAAATCGAAAAATCGAAAAATCGAAAAATCGAAAAATCGAAAAATCGAAAAATCGAAAAATCGAAAAATCGAAAAATCGAAAAATCGAAAAATCGAAAAATCGAAAAATCGAAAAATCGAAAAATCGAAAAATCGAAAAATCGAAAAATCCAAAAATCCAAAAATTCAAAAATTCAAAAATCCAAAATCGAAAAATTGAAAAATCGGAAAATCAAAAATCGTAGAAAAGAAAATCAAAAAATCGAAAAATCCAAAAATCCAAAAATCGAAAAATCAAAAAATTGAAAAATCGGAAAATCAAAAATCGTAAAAAAGAAAATCAAAAAATCGAAAAATCCAAAGCGAAAAATCGAAAAACCAAAAATCGAAAAAACCAAAAATCGAAAAAAACGAAAAAGAAGGCAGTGAATAGTGACATTTCACATTTGAAAATTTGACATTTCATTAACCAATAAAAATATAAAATCTGCAAATTGTGTTTTATTTTTTAAATAATTGAACACCGTTATTGAAAATAGAATTTTGACGTACTTCTTTAAGAATAACGGATAAAAACTGATGTTTGTCATGCTAATAAGATGTATTTCATGAAAATTAGTGATATACAAGACCTTGGATCAACTTTTTTAGTAAGCATCAGACGATAAAAGTCTATTGATTAAGGTTTTTCTTCATACATTACAATTATGTATTTATTTCTTATAGGCACAATGGAAGTTTGTCTGGCTAATGAGATGCACTGCATGAAAATTATTGACTTACAAGACCAATTAGCTTTTTTACTAAATTTTAACAAAACCAAGACAAAAACAACTCGAAAATTTTTTATTTACCGAAAATTTTTAAAAAATATGTTAAAAATACATCAGTAGTCGTCCAACACTACTATTTTTAAACTATCAGAATGATAAATGCACTACCCAAACAATTGGTATTATTAAATTTGTCAAAATGAAAAAAAAGGGACCAAATATTTTTAGATAAATAGGCAAAATAAGGAGCCCAAATATTTAACATGAGCAGGCTTAAGAAGTAAAGGGGCCAACTATTATTGGATAAATTGCTCGAAGTTTTTAAACCCTAATCAAAAGGCGATATAGAATGGTTTTAAAAATCAAGGCTTGTGAAAATCATCACATGGTTTAAACTAAGTAATACCAATGCTTCGCAAACCAAAAAATTCAACGTCTTAATATTACTATCGGCTTTCGGTCTTTCGTTCCAAGTTAAATCATTTCTCGTTTTTTTTTACGCTACGAGTTTATTCTTGTGGGCCTCAGTCTCGATAAGGAGGGAACCACCATTTTAGCGTCTCTCGAATTTGTATTTCTTAACGTTAGAGATTTGCACGATTTTTTAATTTAATTAATATTGTGCATTAAATTATTAATAAAATTAGCTTTCAAATAAGTGTCGAACTTTACAATACGTAACAGTTTTTTATAACGTAAGAGGGCGCTAAAATTAAAGCAATAAATAGTCATATTGTTGAATTCTGTATAAAATTACATTTTAAACGATATGTTGCCTATAGTAGAATATAATGAAAAAAAAAAACAGTAAGGAATTGTTACATTGTTTTTTATTTGTTTATTATTTTATTTTTACTCTTTGAGACGAGGGAACCGAATTTCTCGAAAATAATATATTTTCCAAATGAGAGTACGCAAAATTAGCATTTATTCGATCGAATACGTAATATGATAGATAACATATATTGTATAAACTCAAACAAATCTGATTTTAATCATATTTTTGAGCTTGAAATTTGGCTTGCAACGAGCGGACAAGCGTTTTTCCTTATCTGAACTTGCAATGTACGAAACTTTATATATTAAGCGCTGCATCGGTCGCGATTTCATTTGTTGCTAGATTCCCGATCGATAATTAACTTAGCGAAGTAAAAAGGTGCATAGGGTAAAAGATATGTATATGTTTTTGAAACTTCAGTTTTTTGTTGTTTTACAGAATTGTATTTTGTGTTGTGAATTGTAAATTAAGGTGAGTTCATCTAAAATTTATTTTTTTGAGATTTATTAAAACATTAAAAGCCAAAAACTTGCATTTCAAAAATCATCTTATATTTGAGTATATAAACATCATTGTTAATTGAAGTAAATTCAAATAATTGATAAGCATTAATATTACTATTTATAAAAATTTATAAATTTTGAAAATACTTTCGAGTTTGAGTTTGAAACGTCGAAACATTTCCATTTTTCATGAATAATTTGTGAATTTGTTTACTTACGTATTAATTTCTTTACAGTATACAGGATGACAGAAAAAAAAAAGAGGAAATTATCTGTATACCAACATTTGCTGAATAAAAGAAAAAGAGATGAAGAACTGGAAAACCATGTCAAAATTACGAATATTTTTATCAAAACTCGAGCCTACTTTTCCCAATATTAATAACAACAATAATACAGCTGAATCCCAAAATTCTGAACCTGTACTTGAAACAAGTATCAGCAGCAGACAAGAAACTGATGTAAAAAACAATCCATCCACATCTTCAAGTTCCGCTGATAATGAGAAATCAACACCTTCAAAAATTACCAGAACGGAAAATATCAATCAACTTTCGAAAGATGCAGCACTATGACCAAAGAAATTACGTCCTAATAATATTCAAGAATTAGTAGAACGTAGCCCTGCTCATTATCAAAAGAAAAGGTATATTTATCCGAGAGATAGTTTTCCAATAGTTACTTCTTTAGAATTTTACCGAACAAAAAAATATTGAGCGTTTTTGGTTGTTGTATTTCGTAACAAAAAATTCTCTTACTGCTTCTGTTGTAAAATTTTTAATGACTGCGATTTGAAATCTGTTCGCCTTAGTGATGAATCTGGTTACAATGACTGGCAGCATTTAAGTGAACATTTAAACATTCATGAAGAGAGCAAGTTACATATCGAAAATGTTCTAAAATTGATAGACCTTTCTAAACATTTTAATAAAAATGAAATAATTGATTCTGAAATTCAAAATGTAATAAACAAAGAAATTAAATACTGGCAAGCTGTTATAGAAATAATTTTCTACGTGATTCAGTTTTTAAGTGAGCAAAATTTAACTTTTCGTGGAAGTAGTAATAAGTTGTCGACCCGATTATGCCAGAACATACAAAACGCTCCCAAATAAAAGATCACAAAAACTATCTCGGGGATAAAATACAAAATGAAATAATCAACTTAATCGGTGAAAATATCAAATCAAAAATTTTAGAACTAACTAAAAAGGCAAAATATTATTCCATATTATTAGACTGCACTTCTGACTCTAGTCACCAAGAACAAATTTCAGTTTGTACAACATTTGTTAATTTAAAGAGCACAGGAATTAGTATAGAAGAACATTTTTTATTTTGTCCTATAGATGATGTGTAGGGTGAAGGCTTGGCAAAATTTCTTTTATCGGCATTAGAGAAAGAAGGCCTAAATATCAATGATTTGCTGGTTTAGGGTTACAACAATGGGTCAAATATGCGTGGTTAACATAAGGGTCTACAAAACAAAATTTTGGATTTGAATCCGCGAGCTTCTTTTGTTCCTTGTTACAATCATAGCCTAAATTTAGTCGTTAATGATGCCGCAAAATCGAATACTTTGAGACTTGAGTATCAATTTTTTTTTCTTTAGTCAAGAACTGTTTGTATATTTTTCAGCTTCTATTAAACGGTGGTCAATTCTGAAATCAAATTTATCTAAAGTAACAAATTTAACTTTAAAACCTTTATCGGATGCTCGATGGTTTAGTAGAATAGATACAAT